CATCCGATCACATGACAGGTAACCCATCTCTTCTTTCTGATATTTCTCATGTTTTCTCACCATCGGTTGTTACTATAGCGAATGGTGCCAAATCACCTGTCCATGGAATTGGTACCTTCCGCTCTTCGGGTCTCACTTTTTCATCAGTTTCATATATCCCTCAATTTTCATTCAATTTATTGTTAGTTCGCAAAATCATATCAAATTTAAATTGCTCAGTTACTTTTTCTCCTTCCCGTTATGTCTTTCATGATCTCAAAATAAAGAAAACGATTGGTGGGGGGTTTGAGAAGGATGGTCTTTACTACTTCCAGCCAACTACTGCTTCGACAGCTCTACATTCCACCTCCTCTTCAGCTTACCAGTGGCATTGCCGCCTTGGACATCCCTCTTCAAATAGTCTTCGAGCCTTGGTCCCTTCTTTAGTTGATTTTTCAAATTTAATTGTACTACTTGTGAAATTAGTAAACATCGTCGGGCTACTTTTAAGTCTCGTTTTGATAATAAAAGTTTAAAACCTTTGGAGTTAGTACATTCAAATGTTTGGGGACCAGCTCGTACTACTAGTTTATTTGGTGCTCGTTATTTTGTGTCATTTATTGATTATTAATTACGTTTAACTTGGGTTTATATTCTTAAAGATAGATCTCAAGTATTCTCTATTTTTCAATCCTTTTATGCTAAAATTCAAAATCAGTTTGATGCAAAATTACTTGTTCTTAGAACTGACAATGCCCTTGAATATTTTTTTTTGATAAGTAACAATGCCCTTGAATATAAACTTAATGTTTTTCAAAAGTTTCTTGAGTCGAGGGGCATTATCCATCAAACATCTTGTGTTGATACCCCTCAACAAAATGGAGTTGTTAAACGAAAGAATGGCCCACTCCTAGCTATCGCTCGTGCCTCAATAATTCAAATGCAAGTTCCAAAACATTTTTGGGCAAATGCAGTTCTGGTTGCTGCTTATCTTTTAAACCGCATGCCTTCTAGGGTCCGTTAAGGAAAATCACCCTTCCAAATGATGTTTTCTAACAAAAAAAACCCTTTTTCCATTCCTCCAAAGGTGTTTGGGTGTGTCAATTTTTCATTCTGACATCCCACCAACTCTTCGTGTCTATGCTCGTCGCCGGAAAAGAGAAGTTAATCATATTCCAACGACTGAAGTAGTAAACCCAGCCTTGCCACTTCCACAAGTCGCTTCAACGCCTAGAGATTCTCCCATCTCTCCAGACTCTGATCTTGATCAACCTTTGGAAAGGTAAACGATCTTGTACCAATCACCCTATCTCTAATTTTGTATCATTTAATAAATTGTCCTCCTCCCTTTAAGCTTTTTCTTTGTCATTATCTTGTATTGCTCTTCCTAAGTCCTACAGGGAGGCACTTTCTCATCTAGGGTGGAGGAAAGCTATGGAAGAAGAAATAAACGCTTTAAAATTGAATCATACTTGGGACCTTGTTCCTAAGCCTGCTGATACTCAGGTTGTTGGTTGTCGTTGGGTTTTTACTGCTAAACAGAAGCCTGATAGTACTATTGACCATCTCAAAGCTCGACTTGTTGCTAAAGGCTACACTTAGACTTATGGCCTTGATTATACTGAGACGTTCTCTCCTGTGGCCAAACTGAATTATGTTCGTGTGATAATCTCTCTTGCAGCTAATCTAGACTGGCCACTTCATCAACTTAATGTTAAAAATGCCTTTCTGCATGGTGACCTTATTGACACATTCTATATGACTCAACCACTTGGGTTTGAGTATAAGGGGGAGTGTGTGTATCATCTCAAAAAGTCTATCTATGATCTCAAACAGTCCCCTCGTGCATGGTTTGATAAGTTCAGTAAAGCAATGGTAGTTAACTTCATGGTATGACCAGAAGCCAAGCTGACCACTCTCTTTTTTTTAAGAAAACGAAACGTGGTATTGTGGTTCTTGTGGTGTATGTTAATGATATCACTATCACCGACAGTAACAAAGATGGGATACAAGTTCTAATCCATCACTTGAGTTCTAGCTTCCTTACTAAAGATTTCGGCAAACTTGGGTATTTTCTAGGAATTGAGGTCGCTTGGTCAAAGCAAGGCATTAGTCTTTCTCAGCGGAAGTATACTCTTGATCTTTTACAGGATACTGAATATCTTGGTTCAAAACTTGTAGCTACACCCATGGAGACTAATGTAAAACTTAAGGTGGATAATGGTGACCCAGTCGATGATCCAAAGATGTATCGAAGACTTGTAGGTAAACTTATTTACCTCACAATCACTCGTCCAGACATCTCCTTTGCAGTCAGTGTTGTGAGCCAGTTCATGACCAGTCCTCGGGTACCTCACATGGAGGCAGTTGTACGCATCTTGAAGTATCTCAAGGTGCTCGAGGACGTGGTCTTCTTTATCGATCTTCTAGACATCTTGGGATTGAGGGATACACAATGCAGATTGTGTCGATTCTCCTTCTGATTGGCGGTCCACCACGGGTTACTGCACCTTCATAAGAAGAAATCCAGTAACTTGGAGGAGTAAGAAATAGTCAGTTGTGGCTCGTTCCAGTGCTGAAGCAGAGTATCGTGCAATGGTACACATTGCCTGTGAGCTTACTTGGTTGAAAACTCTTTTACAGGAACTTGGGATTTTAGTCCTATACCCAATTCCCTCCATTGTGACAACCAGACAGCTATTCATATTCCTAGCAATCCAGTCTACAATGAGAGGACTAAACACATTGAAGTAGATTGCCATTTCATTCGATCTAAAGTTCACTCGAATGAGATTGTTACACCTTTTGTTCCTTCTCATAGACAGCTGGCAGACATCTTCACTAAGGTGCTTCCCAAGAACTCTATTGACTCCATATGTAGCAAGCTGGGAGTTATTGACATTTACTCTCCAGCTTAAGGGGGAGTGTTGTACAGTATTGTATGAGTTGTCACACGTGTACAGTTAGTATTGTATAAGTTGTCACCTACCCCTCATTACGATATATAAAATTACCATGTATAGGGTTTTCTCGTTCTCCACTCACTTACTCCCAGAGTTTCTCCTATATAAACACCATTGCATTATTGTATTTTTTTTTTTTTTTGATAAGTAAAAATTAAATAAAAAGGCGTTCAAAAGGAGAACACATCCCAATTACAAGATTGGAATCGAGGCTAAGGCCTCAAAGAATCCAAGAAAGTAATTAAATCATCGGAAGAAGAGCAAGAACTCCTCTTGACATAATTAAAAAGAGAGCGAATAATAAAGAGTTTTAGCGTCGTCATAGACGACTCCTTCCCTTCGAACATTCTGTTATTTCTCTACTTCAAGATGCACCACCACACGCAATGTGGAATGACTCTCCAGTAATCACTTACATCTCTCCGCACACGACATTCTCTCCAAGCATGAATCAACTCCTTTGAAGAACTTGGCATTACCCAACGATGCCAAACAACCCAAAAATAAAAGTCCAACAGTCATGTGCCATGGGACAATGCATAAGGATATGATCAATTGACTCACTATCTTGCTTGCATAGGCAGCACCAATTGACAAGAAAATTTTCCCTTTTCCTCAAATTATCAATGGTCAAAATCTTACCCCAAACAACGGTCCATAAAAAAAATGCCACCCGAGTTAGAGCCATAAAGCACCAAATGGTCTTCCACGGAAAGTCCAGGCGATCAAAATTAGATAAGCATAAGAATAAAGATCGCACTTCAAAGCGACCATGGGAAGAGGGAATCCATATCAGATTGTCACTTCCTCTGCCTACACCTTCCTGCCGATACAACTGATCCAGGAAGACACAAACCTCATTCAACTCCCAATCCTGAAAAGAGCGTCGAAAGTGCACATTCCACGTAAACCCACTGCTATCAAGTCGATAACAATCAGCTACGTATGCATGCCTATCAACTGCAATACTAAATAGTCTAGAAAAGTACGAGATAATGGTTGATCACCACACACCATTGTATTATTGTATTACTTACTCAATAACATATACGTTTTCATATATTCTCTTTCTCTCTCTCTCTTTCAACACCTCTTATTAGAGAGTAGAAGTCGTGGCAATCATCTATGTCGACTCAACATTTGTGCCAAACATAAGCGATCAAAGATAGGGTAATTCCAAGCTCGACCTCAAATCAAGAAGGTGCTCGAGGAACACAATACCCGAGTAGGCGCACTGCTTGAAGGGGCTTGCCTCCATCACATTTTGCAACTTAGAGAGACTTTTCTGCTTCTCCACTTCATTGCACATAGCGATTACAATTGGTCCTTTTCCAATCAAAATTACCGAAAACTTCCTTATTCAATATTTTCATAGCTACCTAGAGTGTCTTTATTCTTCATGCTAGACAACACTATTCTCGACTAACCATTGACCCAATCTCTAAACTATCCTCGTTGGGCTCAAACCTTAAAAAAAACCACGCCCATCCTAATTTCTCAACTAGGCATTTCTTGCAGAAGACTGACTTAATTCTTAATGTCAAAGCTTTTAGATGAAAAGCATTAGAAAGCAAATCCAAGTTTTGAGAGCAACCATTTTATGCAACATAATGTCACAAAATAATATCAAAGGTTAGGTTGCCTCTAATGTTTACCTCCCAAATAAACGGGAAATACTGGATAACACCCTTTAGACGTTTAATACAAACCCTAGTTAGTTTGATTGGGTTAGCTTACATCCAATGACACCAACTGATTTAAAATAAGTGCGCTTTAGTGTACCTAAGGAATACCAAGAATCGAAATAGCATATTAGTAATTTATGACATTACCTCAAAACTCCAGTTAGTTACAAACCATTACGAAGAAAAACAGTTGAATTATGATGCCATAACGAGGTTTTAGACCAATTAAGTGAAAATTTAGAAGTCAAGAACGTATTTACATATAAATCTTTACAATGGTTCGCACGACACAACAGAGTTATGCACATTAAGGTGACGATCTACAAAATTAAGCCAAACAAGACATCGAAATTAAGCAGTCAAAAAGACCTACCACATGCTGCCTCTGTACTTCAACGTATACGGCCCGCTCTCCAGTGAGCGATCGAAATGGCTGTGAACCTTATGCTTCCCTTTCCCACTTTGATCAACCAGAGTCAATTCGAACAACGCTCTCACATCAGTGCCCTCGCTCGCCAACGCGATGAAAACCGAAACGTATGTCGAATTGTCCTCCGGGTTCTTCCCATCCGGATAGAAGTAGATGGCCCACTGGTACCCACCCACCGTGAAATTGTCGCTGGCGATGTGCTTCCCAACGCCCATGCCTTTGGCCAGAGAGTAGCCTTGGATTTCGAACCGGTGAGAGCCGTTCACTGTCTCCGTCACCGACCGAGAGCTCGTCGGCGACGCCAGGGGGTTCTTCTCGGCTGTGGCTGTGTCCGACATTGTTGTATAGCTAAGAAACTATGGAGTTCATGGAAGGAAGGTTCGTCCTGAGATTCTTCTACAAACAGACTCTTTCGGAAGTGAATTCGAGGAATTGATAGAGAGAGACTGAAAAATGGTGGGAGATGATTAGAGTTGGGGATTTGAATCGGATGATGATGTCGACGATTATGAGGTGAGGAGAAAGATACCTATATAGGGTTTTCTCTCTAGAAATTTTTCTTTTTTTCTTTTTTTCTCTCTTTTAGAACGATGAGAGAAACGACGCGGTGGAAAGAAAGTGGCAGTTTCTGCAGCAATGTTGGTCAAATTAAAATCCCAAAAAAAAAATTTTTTTTTGTTTTGCACCTTGGATTCATACGTACTAGCTTAGCAAGCAAATTACTCCCTCCGTCCAAAGTTGGACGCTTTGGAATTACTTTAAGTTCTCAAAGCGCCTAACTATTTTGAAACAAAAGGAGTGACGCTTTGGAATTACTTTAAGTTCTCAAAGCACCTAACTATTTTGAAACAAAAGGAGTGATTAAACTGGAAATGTTTCGAGTTTATTTATTACTGGTCAAATTAAATAAAATTTAAAAATAAGTATGGAAATTTTTAAATGATAATTAAAAAATATATATTTTAAGAGTTTAATTTTAAGTGATAATTAAAAAATAAATATTTTAAGAGTTGAATTTTATAATGACCCGAGTTTTATTTAACCCGGTGGGTCAGTGATGAACCGAAGATTGACTCGATAACGAATCCAGATGCGGAAGCAAAAAACAAAACAACGGCTTCCCAAGGCACTACACGCCTCTAAGACACTTTGATGACCTTCCATGAGGTTGTGTAACTCAATGAGAACTGACGCGGAGACAAAAGATCGGAATTATGACAAGTAAGCCCCCAGGGGCAAATTAGTCATTTCAAAAACTATGGATTCTGATACCACCGGGCACACCGCTAGAAAGGCAATGAAAAACTAATCGAGATGGGCTCAAGAATCGCATGATTCGGAGTTCAACGAAGAAGAAACGACAAGATGAAGAGAAACGAGCAAAACCCATTAATCAAGGGCAAAATGGTCAATTTACAATTAAGAATGGAGATTTGACTCTAAACAAGTCAAATGAAATCCACACAACCTAAACTAATCGTTTCACAACATTCTAAGAGGTTCCAAGAACATTAGACAAGAATCCCATAAAATGCCTATTTCCGATTTAAACAAAATCTGACACTGTCTCACTAAAATATAAATAACTCCCACTGTGATTTGAATCTGAAAATGGCATAGGTACCATTGGAAAGCTGACTCAAAATTCATAAATTTAGGCTCAAGAATCACCCCATTTGGGTTAGAAATGAAGGAGATATGGCCATTTGATGTCAGAACTTCGATGTTGAAACATATCTGAGTTGCTGTATGAAAACAAGCTATTTCGGTCGACCGAAATAGAGTTTCGGTCAACCAAACTGGACAAAATTATGCTGAAAACACATGTTTTGAAGGGAGGTTGGTTTGGTAGAGCGAAATGAATCATCGGTCGACCAAAATAAGCCATCGATCAACCGAATTGGTCCTGAACAGTGAAAATGACTACTGGAATTGATGATTTACTGTGCAATAAAGATCCCAAAAGCCATCGGTCAACCTAAATGGAGTTTCGATCGACCGAAACACCTCGAAAAGCTGTTGTAAGGTCTGCTATGAACAAAAATTGTTGAGGCTTCACCCAAGCCTCAAACCCCAACATGAGATTGGTCCAAAAACATGATTTTAAACTATGTAAGCATGTCAACAAGCGTACTTTAAGTGTTGGAGTGTGTTACAATGGCCCATGGTCTAATTACATAACATTTACAAGATTTTACATGTCAAACCTCCAAGGTTGGTAAAAATACATTTCAAATGCAAAACTTGAAATTTAAATACATACACTTGAACTTTAAAGTTTGTAGCCCTTGGCCTCATGTCATACATATCAAATAGGTACCAAATAGTGTATCTAAGTACACTTTACATGTCATTAGGCAAAAATGAAATATTGAACCTAATTAAGTATTACAACTTTAAAGGTAAAACTTGAACATGCTAACACTTGCATGTGAACAAGAATGCATTAAAAGAAACTTCAAATCTCCAAATCACCCTAGGCAAGTCCAAATCTCTGAGTCTTGAATCCTGTACCTGAACAAATCCCCCAGTAACTTCGAGGTGAGTAAACAAGTTTACTCGTAGAGAATGAGCATGCATCGACTCGATTTCTTTCAGATTTTTAGATTAACATGAAACACTTCAAAAAGGATCATGTCACCTAACGTCTATGTCAAAGTGAGACTCAGGGATCATCCTAAGCTACCTTAGAGTGTAAATCAATAAGAATCATGATATATATACATATATGAAATGAATCAAGGTTGGGATAATCCAAAGAACACGACAAGAAGGATGCTTGAGTACATATCAACATGAATTGCATTTTTAATACAATTAAACAAGGTTTGGAATAATCCATACAACACGACAAGAGAATACTAGAATATAAGAATCACCTTGTCAATGCAATTTACACGATTGGAACATACCAATTAACACGATAGGAGTGATACATGGAATTAAAGATAAGGCATAATATCTATGCAATAAAACAAGGATGAGTATTCCATGAAGCACGAAAAGAGTTATACATGAAATCATGAACAAGGCATAATATCTATGTAAGTAAACAAGATTGAAACATTTCACATAACACGACAAGAAGTATACTTGAAATCACGAATAAGGCATAATATCTATGCAAATAACAAGATTGGAGCATTTCACATATCATGACAAATTTTAAATCTTCAAGAAATAGCAACTTGAAATTTAAGGAGTGAAATTAACCAATGTGGAAACTCGGATGTCGCTCGGATTAAAATCGTACTCTTGGGGTCACTTTAGGGCTACTAACCCATGGGTACTTTCCCCTAGTGCGCACTATAGTGTAGAGAGCTCTCTGTCTCCTGTACCAGAACCAAGTCCTAGCCATGTCAATTCTTAATTCATATCCCAAGTCCCAAAATCAACAAGTTGTGCAAGTCAAGATAATATCAAAATACAAGAAATGCATTAACCGCGTTTCATGCACAACCAAGATTTTGGAACACACAAGTTATGCCCTAAGTTCTCGATCAATTACAATGGCATGCGAAATGTCAAGAAATCATAGTGTGCATCTATATAAACTAGAACCAAGATATATAGTACAAGAAATCTATTGAAGTAAATATACCACAAGTATAAGATATATGATTCGATTACATACTAAACAACGCATGTGTAATTAAACCATTTCAAGACAAATGTGCATGTTTATTAAGTACATTAATGAAACTAAGTTACAAGAAGTCATGATGCTTGATAAAAAGACAAGGGTCCATGAAACACAAGTCCAATTCACAAGTTTAACAAGAATTCAATATCAAGGCATGATTAACTCGATGGAAGCATAAAAAGGAAATTTAATCTACTTAACGGATTAAATTATTAAGATTACAAGGTAAGTCCAAATGATCTCAAATTAATGTGCGTTATACAACATGTCAAGACTTGATTTAAAAGTATGATACAAGTGAATTCTAAGCGAGATACGGCTATAAGTATTAAACTTTAATATTAGAAAAATAATAAATGAAAGATTTCAAAACCTAATCAAATATTCTAAATTTAATATATGTAAAAGTATATGGCATACACATCAATAATATCAAGTCAGAATTCAAATGAAGTGAATAGTACACATGGAATAAATTAATTAATCAATTAATTAAATATTCTTTAGATTTTAAAACACCTCTGATTACTCTCATATTCACCTATGTTGAAGAGCATGTTAGGGTCTAATATAATATGCTAACACATATTGATTTCAAACTAGTTAAGGCCACATGAATTAATCTTTCACTTAAGAAAAATATTAAATAAAATCTTCATTACTTGTTCAAATGCTCTCAATTTAATATATGTCAATGAACATATCAAGGGGTAATATTCTATCATGCCACATGTTTAAACCAAGTTATAATTCACTGGGAAAATCAAATCTCATACAAGAAAAATAAATAATAAAATCTCTAGATTTGATATCAAAGCAAGTAAACAAGTTGTATATGCATCAATAGCATGCAATATAACAAGAAAATAAATTATAACACCCCCTACCTCAATTTAAGATGAAAATCTCAAATCCCCATCGAAAGAAAAGTGCTCCGAATCCGACGATACCGTAGGGCTTTGTTGGGGACAACACGGTGAACAAGAATCCCCAAGAAGCCCCATGAAAATCACAACTTGAATTCAAAGCCGAACTCAAAAATTGGCTAAAAACGGGTTCTAATAAGGGGGAAAGGTAGAGCATGACAAGGCGAACAATAAACGTTAAGGCCGAAGACTTTCCACTAAGGAAATCAAGTAGAGGAGAAGAAAGAATGAAGGCAGCCCCTTGGGCTCTTATGGTTGCCAGCCAAGAGGGGGAAGAAGATGAAGAAATTTAACTTTTTGACTTAAGACTCCCTTATTTATAGAAAATCTCAAAAAGTGCCCCGAACGGGTCCCGCCCGGTCCAGAAAAGTGGATTTTGAGCAGACGCGCTTAAACGGTGAAACTTCGTGAATGAAAAAGATTCAAAATGAGAACATATGAACAACAGAAGAAATGACATCAAAAACCAAGTCCTGAGCAGAGAGATATTCCCCAAACAAGTTCGGCAGCAACTGGTGTCAGAAATTCCTAAAACTGGGGAAAACGTCCAGGAGGAAATTCTAAGAGTCCATGACTTAACGAAAAGTGAAAATGAATCCCGTACAAGGATCCAAGCTTAAAACAAGGTATTTTGCAATAACTTTCGTTAGTTGCACAATGGCCCATATAAAAAGGGTTAACTGCAAAACTGCCCCAGAATGAAAATATCTTCCAAAAGATATTTTCTTAGATACCCCTGAAATAAAATATCTTCAAAAGTTATTTATGAAAAACACCCCGAGAAAAGAAAAAGATTCTAATAAACTGTGCATCCATGCCCCTATGGACACCGGGAGCAACTAGGGTACTTTTCTACAAAAGTAAAGAAACGTATTTCGTGGAAACCACTTAGAATGAAGATACGTGAAGTCAAAAATCAACTCCGAGCACGATAAGTGAGGTTATGCCAACAAAGTAACAAATAAAGAAAAGACAAAATAAGAAAAAAGGATGAAAAGTGAATAGTGTCTAGAAAGTGAACATGCGAAAATGACTCAGTCCTTAAAAGAAGTTGTCA